CCCCTCCCCCACCCCCTCTCTTTCTTCCGCCGTGCCGCGGAACATGTAGCAGCTACCGTTTCGCCGGAGAGAGGAGAGTTATCCGAAACCGTGGATAACGAGATAGGCGAGGCCTCGCTTCCCGCGAAGCAAACCTGCAACTTGTACGCGCATCGAACACGCCCGATGATCGCGCGCGCCCCGTCGGCTTTTTCCCCATTCAGTTCCCGCTGCCAGCGGGATATTTCCGGAGCGGTGCTGCTGGCCGCGCGGAATGCAACCGCTCGTGTTGGATTCGATTATGGTCGCGCGTGCTTAGATGAAAGCGGGGAAACGGGCTTACGAAGGATTCGCTTACGTTATATGTCGGGTACCAGCACGTTTTATGGGCCATCTCGGATTCTGGATCTCGGTCTTTCTTATCTATCCAACTCCGCTCGATTTTTCACTATTGACCTCGCACAGGTTTTATGGAAGTCTTCCAAGCGATAGATCGTTAGAGTCTCGAGTATGGCGAATAGAATATTCCGTTTGGAATGCTGTTGGTGATAATGACGATAATTATATTTTCCACCGATTGTTTCACGCGCATGTGATTTCCTGTCTTGCCGTTGGCTGCGGGTTTTAGGTCTGATCAAACTCGGCGCGAAATGATATTAATGCTGTAATTGATTGGCGCCGTTATAATAAAATGACATAAATGAGAGCAACTTCCAGCCAGGTTTCACCGTTACAATATATTACGCGCGCACATACGCGCACACGTTTACCGACCACGCATATCATATCAATGACAGGTTTATGATGCGCGTGGAATGGCTCGTATCCTTTAACCTCGCGATGAACGTGTGTGGACTACATTTATAATTTAATAATTAAAACGAAGAATTCTGCGCGCGTCGAATTCTTTTTCTCAGCGTAGTTTTTCTTTAGCAACTCATACATTATTTAATTTTGTGCAAAGTCGTGGAAGTAAACCGATGAAAGCCAAGAAAATGTATATTAACACGGAAATATAATTATAATCAGAAATTCCAATCGAAAACATATTTGCAACTTCGATAATTGTAAAACGAAAATTGATAAAAGATTCCAACATGCTCGTTCTCATATTATTCTCCCGATGTATTTTTTAATAATTACGTGTATCAATAATTTTATGAAGTCGTGAAAGTGAACCGATGGACGCCATGAAACTGATACGAAAGTAATTATATCGATAAATTTATATTCTAACAAGATACACATGAAGGATACGTTCTTTCATAAAAAAAATCTTACTTCATATATGTACGTTATAAAATTTGCTTTCTCTTTTCCTTCAGACGTATTTACACATATATAATATCTATCTGTCGGTCATGTGTGATTATCGCGAAGATTATCGCGAGCACTTATACTTTCCGTTGATTAAAAATACTGACAGGTGCCGTTAGCACGGTGCAGAATATTGCGATGCGTAATCAGACTCGCGCGGGGCTGCTCGATCATCACTCGAAAATCCACTTGGACTCCGAGTGCAGGAGAGGAGACGAGTAGAGGCGAGCGGGCGAATCCAACGATCCAACGAGCATTCTCGCGATTTACGGCAATAAGGAATTATTAGCCGGAATGTCTCGCTGGAGAGACTCCGGATTACACACACACACACACACACACACACACGTACATCCGATGGGAAAGCGTGTGCGACGCGCAGCATCGCATCGGCGCGGTGAGGCGCGGTGAGGTGTGGGCAGGGGATGAGAACACCATCGAATTCGAAGCGACGAGGCTCGATGCGTGACACGGTAACGCAAACAGAAATCCGACACGCCAGGCGGACAGAGAGGATGGACGGACGACGTTGGGGCTGGGTGGGTGTCACGAGGGGGTTGAATCGGGTAGACAGACGGCGACAGAGAGAGAGAGAGAGAGAGAGAGAGAGAGAGAGAACGAGGGCGACGCGGGGGTGGGCGAGACGGGGCTTATATCGTTCGCGTTGACTGCGGATCGTGCTCTCTACCCCGTGGTCTCCGGCTTCCAATGTCGACGAGGATGGAAACGCGAACCCGTACCCGCAGTGGAGGTTCTCTTCTCTTTTTTACCTCTCTGTTTTTTTTTTTTCGTCGCTGACCATAGGAGGACACGCAAACACGCGCACGCACTCGCTTGATGAACGAGAGAGGCGGAATGGTAAAGTGCAAAAGAGAGAGAGAGAGAGTGAGAGAGAGAGAGAGAGAGGGGAAGAATGAGAGCACAGAGGATAGAAGCGCGGTCACTTCCGTAATACGTTTGTCGCCCCGCTGGCGTATTCACGTAAATCGGGGTTGAACAACGTCCCTTGTGATTCGCCATCGTCGGGCTTCCTGGGAAACCAGCCAGCTGCCGATTGACTTTGCTTTTAAGTAAGGTGATGCAAGATTGCACCAGTGAATCTAATTTTACTACGATAGACACATGGAATTAATCATGCGCGGTCTCAAACAGTTTTAAGGGATCAATGGAAATTAATTATTCTATTCTCACTAAAATCAGATTATTAGATGTATTATCGATGTCGCCAGCCATGTGTAATGCTTGATTTTCAACATTTGTAATATTGGCTTTGTAAAAAAATATTACAATTCATAGAGCACAGTTATATGTATATTATATATTTTTAAGGTGGTTAAAGAAATATTTATAGAATTTTCATTTTCTTTATACAGTCCGACGTAAAAGAGATCTTTTTGTTTTTTAGGAAAATAATTAATACGTATAGCGGCAATCTCGCGCGAAAATGTCAATTCTGCAAATAGCTCTTTCAATAAATTAAATTCTGCTAAAGCAGTCTTATTCACAAGTTTATAACAATCGCCTAATCGAAAACCCTGGAGTACTTGGCAACATTTTATCATACAAGAATAACACTTGTCTTTCGATAGCTAATCA